TCTCTAGGAAGAGATAATGAAGTGAAAGTCTGAAGTTTAAAACCAGTAAAACAGTACAGGAAGAAGAAAAAAAAAAAAAACAACAAAAAAAACAACAAAAAGATTCCTGCAGCTGGCACAATTCTCATGCCTACACCAAGATTACAAACAAGTTTAAAAGGCAAGAAAAAAACAGTTCAGCTTTTAGTGCTGGACTTTAATCCACATGAGTTCATGACAGTACAACTTTTAATAACTCACGTTCACAGCCACTGGTAAGAATTTTGCACCACTGAGCAACCTTAAACTCCTACAATGTTCCTGTTTTATTAAGGAAATCCAAATGCTACAGAACAGAAATGCCTGGATTTTTTTCCCTTGGGACTGCTGATAGTAGATTGCCACTGTTATCCACCCATAAAAGTCTGAAGTTGACAACATTAAACAYAAACATATATAAACCTAGGTCTTCCAAGCATCAGAAATCCAATACAAGTGCTATCTTGTAAAGAACACAGCCCACCCTTCCAGGAGCATKACACTCCAAACTGCTCCCAGACCTGCAGCACTTCAGCACAGCAGGAATCCTTTCCCAAGATATCTGCCAAGAAAAATTATGAAAGGGAAAGTAAGAATACGTAATGTATCAAGCTAACTCGCAGTCATGCAATCCCATTCACAAAGGAATTACCACCTTTCATACTTAGGACAAAGCAGCCCCATAGCACTGTCTGTGTCAAAAACCTCAGGTGCAGAGGATGTCTGCCTAAGCTTAAGATGGAAAAAAGGCTCAACTATGAGCTCTAAAGCATCACAATGAACAACACATGCCAAAAGTTAACTTGGCCTCCAACAAACATATACTGAAAAAGTAAAAGGACTGCCAGYAAAAGGTGTTTCAGGATGGAAGATTGCACTTCTAAAAGAATTTGAATAAAATGATTTTGTTAAATGGTCTGGTCTCTTTCTGGCCCTCAGCTACCCAGTGAATAAATTTCATGAGTTTATTTCTGCTATATATAGCCTCAGAAATGCATTTGCTTTTGAGAAACCATCATTCATTTCTGTGATAGCATATTACCCAGAGGAGGGGAAAAAAAAGGCAGCAAGACACAATGTCCTTCCTCRCACTCCCCTAAAACCAGAGCTCCTCCCTGCAAACCACAGCCTAAATGTTCTATGAGATCATTTAGGCTGGAAAACCAATAGTCCCTTCTCTTCTTAACATAACTCTTGTTTTGAATTATTGTTACTATTTTCCTCTTCTTTTCTCCAAGCTTAAGAAATTCATTGGGGATAAATTAAATATCTGTATAACCAAGGAATGCTACACAACAGGAAACAGAAAAAAAACAGGCTATATTTATTAGCACTGATAAAATACTAGATACATCCTAGTTTGCATATCCTGACTAAAACCAACTAGAAACAGGCAAAACAAAAGCCTAAATTTAAACGTGCTTCTATACAGTTAACACAGGACTAACTGCTCCAGTCATATGCAAGAGTGTATTAATGAATTCACAGGCATGTCTGCCTACAATATAAATTAATGCCAAGGCTTTTTAGTTCATCCATTTTCCAAATCCCCAACATCACTAGAGACCACCAGGCAAGGACTAGGCAAATTAAGTGTTTCCTTGAAGGATTTGATTTGTCTCTGCACGCACGTTAGCTATAGCATTTCTGCTCRGTTAAAAACAGAAGACAAGTCTGTCCTACCATCACATTACCCAAACACAGGCTTCCAAACCTGTGATTAAAACACTTTTGTACAACCTTGCCAATGTCAGCTTACCAGCTGGACACTGGAAAGAGACCTTAAGTTATAAGGAAAGAAAAGAGAAAGAAAAAACAAATGCACTATTATTTAGACAGGACCCCTCTCTCCAAAAGAGACTAACAGCTTCTATTTTACAGAGTTGACATTTCACAGAATTTTATTCATAATAAAACAGAAGACATCTTATCCACTATAATGTTACAAGCTGCATTTTTTTAAAAAAAGATATTTTTAAGTTTCCTAAAATGTATGCTTTAATCTAGTAATAACACGACAGACACAAGAAGTAACTACTGTTGAATTCATCTTAAGTTAACTTCTAGTATAAGCAGTCTTAAGTAGTGCAAAGAAGTATTTAACTACGAGGGGAAAAAAAAACCTTTCATACCAAGGACTTTATAAATGGCTTATTTTTATATTATCTTTACTGTCTAAAAATCCCACATGCACACAGGAGTGAGGTGATCTGAACATAAATTTGGAAGAAAAAAAATACATAAAACATGTCTTTTTCACCCTTCTACAGCATACATTACTGATGTTATCATCACACTTCCTTGACTCTACACGTGTCTAGAGAGAAACTCAGAAACTGGATGAATGGAGAGGAGAAATCAACATGTGCAAGTTAACAGCAATCTCAGTCACTATAGCAAACACTCTTACTGAAGGATAAGATACCCCTTACTTTCCATTGCACAATTCTTCACAGGCTTTTCTTCCACATGGGAATTCCTTCATTTGAGGAAGCTATCACAAAATGGTGACTGGGCTAACTTCCAAAATGGTGCTTTCACTCTACTCTCAAAATGTCACAACACTTTTTATTTGCATACCTTAGTGCATTTTTCAAGGTGCCATCCAACCTGTAAGTCATACTTCTAAAGAAAATCAAGAGTATTAGAAAGGAAATTACTGTGACATGACTACACTATAACTGCATTCCCTCAAGCAGAAAGGCYTTAAACATTTCACTGAAAGTGACTTTTTCAAGTATTTACCAAGCAGCCTAACATCAACCCGATGGGGGAACATTCTTCCTAGGAACAAGAAGCTGCAAATTCATATTCACAGAGCGTGGGGGGTGAAAAATAATGTTCTTCTCCCCATTATGATTACTTGCATTCAAACTACCACAGGTATTTCTTTTGTGTTCATTATGTTTGGACTTCTTAGGGCCTCAYTAAAAGAGCTTACAACAATTTCAGAAAAAGTCAGGAGTTAAAGTGTGTTTGGAAACTACAGATGTGAAAAAGAAACCTCTGAGTTGCTAACTCAATGCATCACCAGCAAGATACAACGACTTCCCTGCCCTGTGAAAAGACCTCCCTTTCAAAAGGGATGGATGGCAGGTCACACACCTCCTCTACAGTCAGTTCACTGCAGCACCAATTAGATGGCATAAGCAAAAAAGAATCAAGATACCTTATTGTCATCTTCCAGTATTTCAGGATGGAAAAGGTGCTGCCTGCCTTGAGTAATGCTGAGCAGAGTTGCCAGATGAACCTCATCACATGAGCAACAACTCTTAAACTCTTAAGAGAGGTGTCATGGGATTGTGGAGCCTGTTCAAGCAATGAAAAGCAGTAACACTAGCTCTGACTCACAAAAGGAAAAGAGCCAAGTTGAAGACATCCTAAAAGACAGTTTATATTTAGAGAAAGATAGAGGGATTTGCAAAGTGATGTAACTCCTTGAACATGAACTCCTCTATTTGACAAGAGGGCAAAATATGATGAAAAAAGAATAACACGTTTCTCTAAATACGGTAAATATTTCCTTGAACTTCAGATTTCATCAGCATCAGCACAAGATAGGTGGATAAAGACGACAGCTATCGTAGATTTTACTTTTCCATTAGCAAAGCTGGCACAAACAGAAGGCAGGGAAGGTGGTGGTGGCCGTTTCAACTGGACTGTCAAGGTTACTCCTGAAACATCGTGTTGGACGGGGACCAGTAGATCTGCTTAACGTTTACTGGCCCGTCCTGCGCTACTCTTCACCACCCGCAGAACCTCCCGAGGATGATCGACAGGGAGCGACCACCGCCGTGCTGCACCAGCCGCTCCCGGCAGCGCAGACTTGGGGCCAGTGTCAGAGCAAAGCCTCTTGTGCCGGGGAATGGCTGCAGGGCCGGGGCGCCCCCGATCGCAGAGCCTCCGACGGCGAGGGCAGGAGGGCTGCGCTGCCGGACGCACCGCCCGCCTCGCCCCAGCCGCGCCGCAGACGGGGCTCCGCGACTCCGGCAGCGGCCGCCCCCGCCCGCGGCACAGCACAGCCGCCTTCCCCCGGGTGCGGACCCGGCCCCGCAAGGGGCACCCCCGGGGGCGCCCAGGAGCTGTGCCGGGGCGGAGGACGCCACCGCGGAGTTAATCGCTAACTCGCCGCCCCGCTCCCTCGGAGAGCTCCGCCCGCGGGCGCCGTGGCAGCCGGCCGCCCCAACGGGGCGGGCGCGGCGCGCCACCGGGGGAGCCGATAGGTACATCGCCCCCGTCCACCCCACGGCCACCGCAATCCGCAGCACGGCGTCCGCCGCTCCCACACCCACCTTTCCGCGGGCTCGGCTCCCCTCTCTCTTCTCCTCTCCTCTCCTCGCCGCAGCGCCGCGTGCGGTGCGCGGGAACCCGCGCGGAGCGGAGCACGGAGCGCTCTCCCGCCCTGCCCTGCCGTGCCCCCGGCGGCGGCCGCGCTGCCAGCGCCGAGGCGTGAGGGCGGCCCCACGTGCGCCGGCTGCGCCAATCGGGGCCGCCCGCGGGCCGCCCACCGCCCCCGCCGCCACCGTCCCGGGCCGCCCGCGGACCCGCGGCGCGGAGCGGCGGCTGGGGGGATGCCGGGCGGGATGCCGGGCAGAAGCGGTGGCAGCGCGGGCAGGAAAGCTGGTTTGGGAGGCGGGAGGAAATAAGCGCGTTGGGACGTAGTTTGAGATCGCGGAAGGGAGAGAACAAGGGAGCCCCAAACGCTGCTGCGCGCCGCTTCCGTGCCTGGGGTCCGCCGTGGAGCCGGGCTGGCGGCAGCGCCGCTCGGCGAGAGCGCACCGCAGGAGGGGCGTGCGCCCGCCGCGGCCGGGGAGCCTCCCGCGGGCCGGGTTCCGCCGCGGCCAGAGTCCCGCCGGAGCCGCTGGGGCGGGCGGAGGCGCCCGGCGGCTGGATTGAGAGTTTAGATGGGCAAACTTCCAGAATTACCGTAAAAAGCGTCCTTTTAGCTCTCTGGCGGGTTTCGCAGCGCTAAACGTCCACACCTTGTCACAGAAAGCCCGCGGGGCGGGAGCCGGGTCTGGTTCTCCCCGGTGGTCCGCGGGTAACGCAGAGCCAAAGCCCGGGAGAGCCTGGGATCGGTCAGGTGTACGATGGCTGCTCAGTCCCGCGGCAAGGTTCCTGAAAGGCGTTGTCTCCTGCTAGAACTTCAGGCTTCACACAAATAACACAGGGCTGTTACTCCACACTCGGAGGATAAGGCTAGAAACAGATTGTACCATTGTAGTTTGTACACTGGATGTCAGTGAGGTGTCCGGATCCTGGACCACATTGCTGTGTGGCCATGCTGGGAATGTAATGGTTGGAAACAATAAGGTGGTTAGTTAGAAAATAMACGTTCATAACATAGCAAGATATTTTTGCACTTTATTTTACAATGTTTCATTTATAACTATTTCTGTGGGATTGTCAACKTAAATTTTAGTTGGTACAACTTCCGTTAGTTAATGGAAATGTGAGTTGATTGTTTGCTCAAGRGGTGTGTATTTTGATCCTGTCATTTAATCTAATGATTGTTGATGTTGCATAGTGCTATTGTTCACTACAGCCTCAGTTTTTCAGACCATTACATTACACTCAGTTACACTCTGTTGTGTTACTGTTCCTTTAGATCTCTCTTAGTAATGCTGTGAAATCCTTTCRGTGACTCAGATTAATTATAATAAAATTTGCATGGATATCATGGAAATAGGCCAATCTACTTTTGTTGTAGGCAACAGCCTCCCACAAATGCCTTCCCATCTTACATATAAAAAGTTCATCCCCAATGGCCTTCAGTTGTCCCCGTATATTAAAACCAGTCACCTTTTTCCTGTATGGTTGCCAGTAGAATTCAGTGTCTCCAGCATCCATGGAGAGGATTTAGGCCAACATGCATAGCCATGAACAGAAAACAGGGAGAACAGGCTACGGTTATGAAAGGCAAAGCTGGAAACAAGGTTACTTTTTCTCTTTTTCTGATGWATTTGAGCATTGGGACCTTCAAAGAGTTCATCATGACCTTTTTTAGAAAGATAAACTTGGGAACATCCAGATATGTGATCCATTTTTATCTACTATCTAAATACCAAGTAATTTAAAATATTATTTTCTATTTTTTCTGCAGATAACGGCTAGTAACACTGAATTTGTGATGGTTAATTGCCTGCTACAGGAACCGAGAAGAGAAAAGCTGACTATGCATTCACAAACACTAATAATGACACTTTTCAGCCCTTTAACCTTTTAGCCCTTTTTTCTTCTCTCTTTTTATTGTATTTTGGTGAGCTTTGGGATTTGGGTTTTTTTTTTGTTTGTTTGTTTGTTTTTTTGGGTTTTTTTTGGTCAGGGTTTTCTTGGTTTGTTTGGAGTTTTTTTCCCTTTTGTTTTTTTTGGGTTCTTACCCTCTTGTAGGTCCTTGCAGGCAATGTGTTTTAGATAAGAGTAGAAAYTGAAGCCCAACTTTTATTCTTGCAGCTACTAAAACTCTTCAAATGTGTCTCATTTTTGCTTTCTTTGTCATTTGAACTGATAGTATTTAATTTGGGTGGCTGGATTATTACTGCTAGAAATGCTACATTGTGTTGATGATTTTGTATTTATATTTAAGCATATAGCATGTCATTTCCAGTGAYGTACTGTTCTTTTAAAATGTCTTTAAATGTCCTTGGGCTTGTCAGTCTGAGTGGCGTGCTTGTGCTCAGCCTTTGTTCTCCTCCTACGACTAGATAAATTTATTAGTTAGACAGATTTAGCRCACAGAAACTGTCCAGCAGATTTCAACCTTCACGCCAAATGGGTCTAGGAAAGCAAGGGGGTTTACACGTGGTAGTAGCTGTAAACAACACACAAAAATGTGTCAGTCAACCATGTAAAATTATTTGAGTGCTTAAGGGGTCCAGTTAGGTGAATAAATTTGGAAGGTTAATGCCTTCTGCGGTATGCCAGACTTCTTCACAGAGCTTACCATCTTCATAGTGCAACAGGATGTGTTTGTGTCTCTCCTACCCCAATTCACCGTTTATAATCTCAGTGCAAACAAACCTCACCTCTAACCTAAACATTGCTTGCAACAATCTCTGGCCAGGAGGCAGAGCTTAAACCAAGGAAGTGGTATTGTTTTAAATAATTTCAAATAATTGTACCAAAGCACATCTCTGAGAATCACAGTGTTTGCAGAAGTGAGATCTGAGAAAAAAACTCTGAGCTTGCCTGTATGTCCTGTAATCCTATGGGATCAGGAGAGAGGTCCAGATTCAGAAAGGTTCACTTTTCACCAATTCCACTAGAGATATTGGTGATTATCTGGGTGTAAGACTCTTCTGAGTATTCAAAAGCAAAACTTGGCCTTTGCTCCAGGAACACGTGAGACTATTGAAATGGTTTGTGTGCAAGATACTTAAAATTATGTTTAGATAATAAACTTCTGAGAAATATGACCTCAATTAAGACTAAAGGAACATTACGCAGATCTGGGGAGGAGGAAGTCTGACTGTTATAATAATGCAGTTGAACCACCAGAATGTCACTGATAAGCAGCTTGATAAAAGACTAATGAGAGGAATATCTCACAGTTCCTTACAGCACTAACAATGCAGTACACCTGAAGTATTATATAGGAAATAATTTTTAAACATGTTCTTTAAAGATATGTAGCACAAACTGAATGTGCAGGACTGCTAATGACAAGTGCTGGCATTCATGCTTAGTGCATAGCTAAAGTCATTAAGTGTTTAGCAATTTAAGTGCATAGATAATGAATTGTAAGACAGTGTATGGTACAATTTGTTGATGAACTATATAGTAGAGGGGAGCTGTGTCCTGGATTTTGGATTTTTCAGGCTGCAGTGCTATCTATTGGTGACAAGACTGTTCTGAGTCACCTGCATACGCTGCCCCTCTAACTCACTGTTTCAGCCCTCAGATCACAAAACCCCTCATGGCAATTTTACCAAATCTTTGGCTAAAAATAAAGAGGCTGGCTGCGTGACAGGGCAGTCTCTAGGGCAGCCAGTGTTCCTGTTGCTTAGTGGGAAAGAAGCCAGTCTTAAAGAGTCAAGAGGTGGGCTCTGTAAAGAAACTACTCATCTGTGACAAATGAATGTACACTGCAGAACTACAGCATATCCCCACTGTGTCATCTGAAGGACTCAAGTCCTTCAAAAAGAGAGATTGTTTTTGCTTCAGAATGAAATAAATTGTATTGTTTTTCTTTAATGATGAAAGAATGCGTCCCTATGTATGAACATAAATGAACAGATTTGCTTTTGTATTTTGACAAGTAAAATTTTAACATAAAGTATACTTCCCATCACCCTTGCCGAGTCATTTTCTTGTAGAAGTCCTCAGAATTAGCAAATGTCCCTTAAAAAGAAATTTAGTACAACCCAGTCTATAGAATTAATACAATTTACTACTGTTTGCAAAAAAAGCATTATGTATCTATGCACTGCAAATTAATGTCTATATTAATAGATACAGACTTTTTTTGTCATAGTAAGGTCATTTAACAAATTGCTTTTACCCCCTTCTTACCCATGGAGGGAGCATTCAGGAATTTTGCACTTCTTTCAGCAGCAGAATTATTGGCARGTAGCAAAGGAGGCATTCCTTCTCCCTTGTCTTCAGAACTCTTCCTTTCCCAACATAATAAAAACACCTCCCCCCTTAAATACCTTCTCAAAAGTATTACTTCTATGCAGCTGAAAGAAAAACCAAAAGGATTGAGCATAGGAAGCAAGATAGGCTGAGCAAAAAACCACGGGATATTCCACAGCAGGRTCTATGGGACATGTAACACAAAGCAGGTTCATTGTGGGCCTCTCATGGCGCCATAAAACAAGAGTAGGACCTTTCAATATGCTAATATGTAAAAAAAGAACAGTATGTGGAGGATGCTGTTCTACAGTCAAAAGATGGTTTTATCTTTCTTTAAGACAGACAAAATGAGGCATGAAAAAACAAATCTCACCATTCTCCTGTTCACTCTGTTTCTTCACAGATATCTTCTGATGTTTATTCATTTCCTGTTTACTATAAAAGCAGTAGCTCTGAATGCTAACTCAGATCTCCTCTAAGCCTGCCAACTGAAAACTAAAATGTTTAATTACATCTGAGCACAGTCCAAAATAAATAGCCCTTATTTCAAATCTAATTCAGATAACATCAAGATGTATAGAGATTGATACGTGCATATCTGGGTGTGGAAAATCCAAATCCCTAATCACTGGGATACATTAAAATTGTCCTACTTCTTGCAATGAAGGTACTGAATCTTGTTGTAGAACATGCATGGACCAGTTTAAAAATAACTAAGTGAAAATGAGATGAAGAATTGCCTTTCATTGACCATATCTCAGGAAACTCGCAGGCTCAGCAAGGCAGAGGAAGGATGAAGGGGCCCAAGTGAGCCTCAGAGGTCTTGGAAATGTTTGTGACATTTTCCTAAATTTTTTAAAATGTACTTTTCTAAAAAATCATACAGTGTGTAAGGCAGCAGTAGGAGCTCTTAAGGGATTTGGTTAGTCCATGCTTATAGGACTGGAAAGACCCTGTCATTTTATTAGACCTGGCTGGCTTAGTCACTAATTACAGGTTTCTTTTGACGGGTAGATAAAATCTGTGCATAATGTTTATGATTATCAGGGGAGTGACATCACATGCTGCCTGGCCTAGCACAGTATATGACCTGGCCTGGCACAGTGTATGACCTGACCACAGAAATTCCAGTGCGATTTGTAACAKGGTATGGGGAATGCAACATAAAATTATATATCATTTGCCCAGCATGCCTTACTGTTTATCATCACTTAGTGGTTAATATCATAGCCATGTGAATAGTGGCGTTAAATATCACGGGTCTGAGTGTGACATCCAAGGACTTTAGAAACGTTAGAAATATGCTGTCATGACAGTCAATTTAAAAATTTTTACATTTTACTACTTGCTTTGGAGTCAAGAGTACTTAGGAACTCTAAGGGAGCGGTGGAATAGCTGTCACTAGAATTGGTAAATCTGCCTTTCAAGTGAGCTCTGCTTTGAGTTTGGGCAAAATTCCCTCTGAAGGTCTCAACCGAAAAAATTTTCCTGTCCTTACATGACTGAGTTACATTTAAGAATTGGGAATAGGAGCTGTCTGAGGCCAGCACAGACAGTCAAAACCTGCCTGAGAAGATTTTATCCCTACACAGCACTGAGGGGGGGACATGAAGAGGTGAACCTGGACTGCAGCGAATTCTAAAAACTATCCTCTCTTGTCATGGTTGTTAAATGTCTGGGGAGACTGAGAAAGTTTCTTATAATTGTAACCTCCCACATAAAATTCTTCAAGGAACTTTTCAACTGTGTATTGCTGAATATTTAAAGTAGGAGTAAGGCGTAAGAAAAATGTCAAGGACTCAATTGTAAAAGAGTGAAACCTCTGCTTATAAAAACTCATCATAAGCAGAACACAATGATAAGGCATGCTTTTGAATTACACACTAACGTATAAAAATTTCCGCACACCAACATTGCTGCTTATATTTTATTTTTTTATAAGAATCCTCAAATTAAACCATAAAAAATCAGAAAATCTGTGTCTGCAGAGCAGTTGATTCAGCATTGGTCAAAACTTGGAAGAACATAAATCTTTGAGAAGCTTTGAGATCTTGCCAGACTTTATTCTCTGGAACTTAGATTTGTTGTCTAATCAGTTTATTTACTGCAACAGTCTGAAAAAGACTGAAGAAGGCAGATACAAAAACTTCTTCCAGAAATAATTGTGCTCCTTGAATTGTGTCGACAACTTTCTTCTAATACAGATTTATAACGTTAAAATAGATTTTCTGTTGGGTTTTATCTTTGTTTCTCTACAACTGACCATCTGTCTGCTTTTTGTGAGGACATATCAAATTGAAAATAATTTCAAAATTCTCTGTATTATAGACTTAATATGTAAAATAGTGTGAAATTCAGGCCTAGATTTGAGTTTGCTTCTGGTAAAATCAGTCTCAGGCTCTGTTAAGGCACTTACCACTAAAATATGTTCACTGTTTGCCAGTGCCGGAGGTTATACTGAAATTACATTAGACATAATTTGTATGGGCAAGTTGCTTGAGTAGGGATTCATGAAAAGAGGAAAATGCTGGGGGTTTTCAGAATAATAAGGATTATTACACAGAAATCCACTGTAAGATATATTGCAAAATTATTGAGAATAAATTAAATCTTGTCTTTAGAGGCAGAAAACAGCAAAACAGAGGTTTTAAGAAAAAAATTCATAAGTTATTTATTAAACTTTAAAAAAATGTTGAAATGTATATCTACCTCCTACATATGCATATTGTTTCTGTGGAGATAGTGTTTAATATCGTCTCCTTTCTGAAATAATCATAGGCCTCAAAGGTTTAATATAAATGCCCTGAGACTTTCTGCAGCAGAGGTGGAGCAGCCACTTGTGGTGAGGCCCAAGCAGTGCAAAATGACTTCGTACTCTCTATGTCCCACCAACACTTTGAGGAGCAAAAGGGCTCACAGTCTTTGCTTCAGAAGAAGAGCCTTGGAGTTCAGTCAGCTCCAGCACTTTAAAAAAGGTTTCTTTTAAAGTTCTGTCCAACTTTAGAAAGGTTTCACTGCATAGAAAAAAGTAAACTAGCAAGCTTGCATACTTAATTACTTTTGAATTTCATTTTGTATTTAAGATGATAAATTTTCAGCCTGTACCTAGTACCCAGCCTCTTTAACTGTTTCAAAAATCAGTGAGATGGAATGGCTTTGTGTACTCTGACAATGAACTAAATGCCCAATGGATAATTTTGCATTCATGATTAGCTGATTAATGGCACCATTTCCTCAGGGGATAAAATCATATTTGTGAAAATGAGCAGCTATGTACATGTGCATGCACCCACACGTATCCATGCACAGAAAGGTAAGGCAATAGATGCTCCTTTTATTTATTTCTTTCAAAGATGGAATTTAATCAATACTGTGTTTTTGACCCTGAATACAGTTGATAGCACCATCAGGTTTCTTTAAATACTAAAAATGCTGATTCAATAGCTGATGTCAATATACAGAGAAATAATCAATTTGGGAAGGGAGAAGTTTATTTTATTGACAATACTGCATTTGAAGGATTTGAGTACATGTGATGGATAGGTACTTAAAAATTATATAGTCTTGAGGATTTAGGAAAGAATGCTTTCCTTAGTATTAGAAAATGAGTTTCACTGCACACCAATATATGACCAATAATGTTAACTTCCCAAGAAGGATTATTAACTCTCCAAGTACTTAAAATTTGCTCTTCTGGTTACTCAAAGACAAATTTAAAGAGGAGTTTATTCTGAAAATAGTAACAATAGTCAGATTAACTTCCTTTCATGTCATTATTGATGTTCATTATAAACATTCCTTAGCATAAGTTAGGAAGAACCTCTTTTCACTTTAAACTTTGCCTTGATTCGGCTTTATGTTTAACATTTCTAGTAATTATTTTCTTAAATGGGTTCTAGATCATTTCTCTTCCCTAACTTTTACTTTCTGCAAACTAAGAAGAAAAAAATAATAAAACAGTATCTCTATAAAAGAAAGAGATAACTTAATATGAAAACCAACCTGTTGAATAAATTGAGTTCTTAAAACACATTGAGTATTGTTATCAGAAATGTTTCCTATGAGGTATTCACACTAATGATATACAAAATATTAGAATTGCCTTTTGTTTAATAATTTGTTAATTAACAAAGAAGTCAGGCCAAAAATTCCTGAAATAAAGAGGACAGCTGAGGAAGATAAAATCATGAAATGATACACTCTTGTTAACATCCAAACACTGATTTTTAAAGTTAGTGTTCTGTGAATGAGAATGTTACTGCAGCTAATTTGTGATTTTCCATTGCATATCAATGCTGATGATCAGGATGTGCTGGCCCTACACTGAAATGTGCACTTGGACTTTGCTCTTCTTCTGGCTTTTTAATTTCAATGAAGTTACTTCTTGTTTCATCTTGTAATCTTCTCAATTTTTTAATCCATTTTCCTTTCATAAAAGCAAATACTTTGCTTGTGTACCAGTAAAATATCTTTCTATGACTGGAAAAAACATTTTTTCAGCTGTTGTTTTCCATATATATATGGGATTTTTAAAACCCCAACACTCTTCTACTGCTTACAGTCAGTAAACCAAATACAAAAGACATTTCTGCTTTTCAGCTGCAGTCTTTTGTTTGGATGTGTTTCTGTGCAACAGTGCAGATACAAATACTTAAAATGGTAAAGCCTTCTCCCCAAGATAACAGAGTGCACTGCAGTAATACACAGAATAAAATACAGATAATTTTTCTGTGTTCTTTAAGAGGTTAAGGTAGTTTAAACTATGTAAATTGAAAACCTCATGGATCTCTTTATAGTTTTCAGAACACATTTGGTTTCAAAGTACTGATCTGTGATTTTGTTGTCAGGTGTTAGTTCTGAGAACTCTGAATCAGGGAACTTTAGCTAAAATGAGTGTTCAGCATTAAAAATCTAAATTAAGCTAGGCAAAAACTTTTAGGAGAAAAAGGATCCTCTTAGTACCTGGGATCATACAGTCGTATTCATTTAAAAGGGACCCCTATGTCCTCAGATCACTAAGTAGTGCAGGTTTGAATAGGAGTAGGTATGAGTGCAGAAAAGCTCATACTATGGCATTTACATCTGCATGCTCTGTGGGCATGTGGGAGCTATTCCAGATTGCCTGGTGTTTTTCCTCTGCTTATCTGCATGGCACACTGAGGAGGCTTTTGGCAGCTGATTCCTAGGCTCTCCTGTTTCTTAGCTCAGCCCTGCAAAAATAGCCCCTGATAAAGAAACACGTCACTATCAGGACCTCATTACCTTTCCACCCAGTAATTTTCATTGTGCTCTTTAGAAACCTTTCTGGTCTGCAACCTGAGAGCAGCTGGGCTTTGGGAATGGAGATGTGCAGCCACAGAACAGCTTCCAGCTCTCCAAAAACTGCAGAGTGGTAGGCAGGGAACAGAGCAGGCAGTGACGCTGATGCATCAGATGTCTCTCTCGTAAACATCCAGACACCAAACACCAAGCAATGTCTGGAGCCTGGGGACAATACTGACTGAGCACTGTAGTGTGGCCATCAGTGAAGGGACAGCTTCCAGGTGAAAGAGTCGATGCCCATGAAAATGAATCTGTGCTGAGTTCCCCCTTCAGCCGACATTTCTGCCAATGAGAAAGCCTCCTGTTGGCTATCATCTGACAAAGTAATTCAGGAGGTGGCATTCACCAATTCAAAAGCTCTTGCCCATCATCTTTGTGAGTGATGGAGATGGCAGCTATCATCTTTGTCCTTTCTCACCCCAGTTGTATGTGGGTTATGTACATGATGCTGCCTGTAGTGTATTCTTTTTCATTCTCAATTCTTCACCAAGTAGCACCCAGAAGAAGAGGAATCACTTACTCAAAACATAACTATTTACTCAGACTGTAACTGGTCTAACCCAGATGTTCTGGTGTTTTTTATAAATCTCCCAAGCTCTCATGAAGGAATTCTTTGRAAGAGCCAGACATCCTGACAGTCAAAAGCAAAGCAACATTAAAATCACTCAATATTTATTGGGCTTTCTATTTTCAAGATGTTAGTTAAGGTAAGTCAGCAAATTTTCTTACGACTGTATAATAAAATTAAAATTTTTATTTAATGTTTATTCAGATTTCATGATGAGTAAAGAGATTTTCGATACACAAGTATTGGTTAAAAAAATCCCACAGCTCTGAGACTGTAATTAGCTTTTTCAAAAAACACAATTGATCAACTAATTGCTGAAAATTCAAAGCAAGCTGAGCAAAGAGTCTGTAATGAATTGACCTATTAGCTATTAAGTATTAGAACCAGTACATTCCCTCAAATTAAAATTATTGCAGTCTTTTTTATAAATGGTACAGATATTGATGTCAGTGCTTTTGGATAATCACTAGAAGAAATAAGAAAAAAAACTAAAACCACCTTATTGTGTTTTATGTAATTTTTATTTACAGAACTTTGCAAACAGCTTATAGCAACAAAGGACCACAGGTGTATTTCCTTAAAATATAATGTCACTTTTTAGTGTGCAGAAAATATTTAAAATAGACTGAGTGAAGAGTGTGAAGATTTCAAGGTAGGTAGTTATTTTTAGGTGAAAACCCTCAGAAGAAATGCATGATATTGAAAAACACTGAAAACTACTCCCAAAAATATATTTTTTGCAATGTCATTTCAAGGGGAAGCAACTTAAAATGGAGACAAAGAASTCATGTTTTTAACAGTTGGGAAATTACATTTTGTGTTGAAGCAACTTGTCTAGGAACAAAAATTGTATCTAGACAATAAATATTATATAATGTGATTTCTAATTTAAGAAACATACCAAAATCATATTTAAAATTATGCTTCTGCCTCTTGAGATGCTACATTGCCAACATTTGCTTCTCATGTGAGGGATAATTAATTCAATCAGAATTTAATTTTGCTGACTGGGCTGAAAAAAACACTTCCTGACTACATCATATGTGAAAGCTTTCTCAAATATTTAAAATACGATTTGTTCAATTTGCATACAGGAGTATTAAACCTATATTTTACTCTTTTTCAGAAACGTGGAAACTTGCAAATAAGATGCAAATGCCTTAAAAGCACACTGTGTCTGTACTAAAGAGCACATACTCTCCTAATGAAGTGGAGGGTGGGACAGGGATTCAGACTCACTTTTCAGTGGGAAACAAGTCTAACAATAGAATCTTTTACATGGCACTAAAATCACAAAACAGTAAGTTAAAATTCCATATTCAGATAATGAACACTTCAAATCAGAATTGTATTTTTAAAGCATCTTCATAGGCTATTGTGTCTGACATAAAAGTAATTTCGGTATGTGGTCATACTTTGAAAATGTTTCTTGGTTGCCTGAGATGATGATAAGGAACTATGGGGGTGTATTTTTATTTCCAGAAGGAAGTTTAGATGCTGTTTTTTCAGGTAGCTGGACTCCACACCGGAGATTCACGTTTCTGAAGGAGAGAGCTTGGTTAACCTAGATATTCCATTAGGTAAGAAAGAGGAAAGGAAGAGCTTTCATTTTCTATTCTTGGTCAAAGAAAATTTGCTAATCTATTGTGTTTGTCCTAGTAGCAATAGGGAAGATTTGTGCTAATGTCTTTACAAACAATTCCATGGGGTGAAGGTGTGGGTGTTAACATCTTTGAAATGCGTCTTAATGTCTCTATTAACTTTGGGCAGCAGGTTTGTTACAGAGCCCAGACTAGCTCCTCAAACACAAAGCCTGACTTTCTGAACTTTGGGGTAAAATGACAGGTTCAAGGGGGGATATATGGTAGGAGGTTCAGGGAGGCTATACCTTCCTAATACGTCAGCTGATGGGGAAGGAAGAGGGCAACATGCGGCCAGAAGTTTACATGTGCCCAAAACCTTGAGAGACAAAGCCCCGCGGGCATGTGCCCCAATGGACTCTCCCTTTATCTGCATTAAGTTGCAGGAATCCTCCATCTCCTTTATGGACTCTGGCTTTTTCTAGCGTGGTTTTCCATACAGCAGTGAGCTCTTCACAAGCTTCTTGCTGACTCTCACCATCGTGGATATTAGCATGGACATCTGAAATCAGTGTCCGAGTGTCTGTACCTCAGACAGAAGTGCTGGAGTGCTTCAGCTCCTTAGGCCAGCTGAATCATCACACGTATGTCTTCCTACTTGGGACTTTTTCAGTCATTATGCATTTTTTCTTATTTCCATGCTACCCAGATTTTCTTCTGCATGTGAAACCCCTCTCCAGGTGGCAGGAGTCCCACTACAGGCCAAGAGTGTGGAAAAGCCATTAGAGACATTGCTGAAGTAGTTCTTTCAGAGTACCCCCACACAGTGGGCGGCTTTTGGAGAAAATGTAGGCGAATTCTTTCCTTGGGGAATTTGCTGCCAAGTTCGGAGTTGTTTCTTGGCCAGTCTGAAACTGGGAAAGAGAAAAGAGAGATTTTGAGAAAAAATGTAAAAATACTTGTGGGATTGACAAGGGGACAGAGAAATAACAGCAAGTTCTCTAGAACATGTTCTGGCACCAGCCTAGGCAACATCTTCTTCAAACATTAGTCTTTGGATGCGTTTCTTATCTGCAGTCTGTAGAGAAGATTGCTATTGTGAGCAGTTCCAGTTTTGGTGAAAGTTGGAGAGAAAGTATGGTTGGTGATTGGCGAGAAAGTATGGTGTCTGTGGGTACTGCCTAAAAAATTTTACATGCCAAATATTCCCAAATAGGCACATGATGGTGGCTTTCATATCCTGAGGGGAAAAAAGCGCCTGTGCGTGTCAGTGATTTGCTAGATACCAGAAACACAGGGTTTGCCACATTTTCAATCAGCTCCTGTGTGGCTTTTTTTGTGCTTGCCAGGACATCTGGCACTGAAATGGAAAGAGAGGGGGAGGGTCATGAGGAGGTATTGTTGTCAGATGGATGCTGCTAACACTGGGGAGATGGACTAATAGGCACATCTGAGCCTCTGATGGTTTGGTAGAGTAAGACATACCTTTGGAAGAAAAAAAAAACTATTTCTGATTTCACTGAAACAAATTTCCAGTGCTCTTAATGCTCCTGACTGTGAACTCGTGGCCATGCTTTTGCAGAAATAATCTAAGCAATCTCTTCACCACTCTCCCAGACTGAGTGTTTATAGAATGGCACGGGCAGAGAGTCTGAGCAATTATCTCTGCTCCAGCAAGGAGAACCACAATTCCTCACACTCACTCTAAGTGCTATAATTATCTCTCAGTACTTGGTGACTAATTCGAAGCCAAGCACTGTTAGAGACTGCCCAAGTAATATTTTAATTATATTTTTAGAATGCATGTTTTTTTGGTTGGAAACAAAATTAATGAAATTCTGGTTGTTCTTACTACCTAACTCTAATACACACTCTTGATACAAATGCAGCAGAATTTGATTCCATCTTAAGTCAATGAAAAAAGATTTATTCTCACAATATAAGCTCCAATTTCTCTAATCAGTAAGGGCACTTTGCATTTCAGTGAGGTATTAATCTGAAGAATTCAGAAGCATGTTGCTAATAAATCTCTGCCTAGAGCTTCTATGAGAACAGATAATATGGCTGTTTCCTAAAGCCCTTAGATAAGGCATAAAGATAGCAAATAGGAAGAGAAATTAGAATTCTTTGACTCAACCAGTAAATAATCCTTCTTTTCCTTGCATACTTTGCAGACACTAGAGGTGTGAAATACTAGCCTTAAAAGGTAGGTTTTCTTTTTGAGTCCAGCTACAGAAAAAATAACATCTTGTAACAAAAAACCAAAGAATTTATGGTGCACAAGGTAGCATAGCAGGTCACAAATATCCTTCCAGTTTTTAAAAGCATCAGTGTAATACTTTCCTGCGGCAGAGACAGGACCTTTATTTTCCCAGCATATATATATATATTTTCCCCAGAGTCTGATATCCCTCTGAGTCGAGGAGTCTGATATCCCTCTGTGAATACAAAGGAGCCAGAGTTCTCTCTGAATGCAGGCTGCAGGCATGCAGCCTTTAGCAGTTTACACTCCACTGAGAGAAAAATCATGGATCTCATATTCCTTGAGAGCATTTGCTCTTCTCTGACCCAGAAGCAGACCTTCTGTGGTCAGAAGAAATTTATATCCAGATTTTGAAGCCCTGACAAGAACCCATTTCAGACTATAGAAATAGCTTTTTATGTATCATTTTTTTCTAGGTGCTTTGACATCATTTAATGGATTCACAGCTTCTGGGGCTGTTCTTTTAGGGAAAAGTACAGTCATCTTGATTCAGTCTCTACTAGAAAGGCTGGAGGGTAAAGCACTGTAAGTAAAAAATAAACTTTTTTTTTTTTTTCATATATTAAATGACTGTAGGGGAAGATACCTTTTGGCAGATGGTTCCACTTATAGCTGTTAAACATAATTTTTTTTTTCTTTTAAACCTCCAGTTTTTATTGATCTTCCAGAATGCAAAAGAGAAAGGATCCTATAACTGCCCTGGTTCCTGTACTCTTCTGCATGCACTTTCAGCCTCTGCAAGGATTAGATAAACATTTGCACTCACCCTATGGAATATTTATTATATTTTAATTTTCAGCTCTTGCATGAAAAGTCAAGTGAAACACAAGAACGCTCACAATAATAAAATGCAAAACGAATAAATATGTTAAATTTATTATGAATAAATATAATGATATACACAACCTGGAAAAATAATGAAACATTTGAAAAGGAAATTAGATTTCTTTTTWAAATTTAATTTGAATGGTGTAATACAAAAATGTGAGACTAACAGAAAGAAAGTTTTCTTTCTTAATATCTTGAAATAAGTCTATAAAATCATATATTATTTTGAAGAATTAAGTTGCTTAATTCTTATAATCATGTTCTGAATTATATTTCATTTCTTTTCAATCAAATTAAAATATTTTTTGTATGGCACCTATTATGAAGGTCAGAGTCTGGGTCACAAGTGATATGAATGACTTTCTGTGAGTCACTTGTAGTGTGATTCTTTGGATGCTCTAAAGCACTGGAGTGCTCAACACAGTGACAGATAGATATTTATTTTACCCCCCTGTGCTCTGGAGGGACTTACAAACCAGCCTTAGGCTCTGACATGACACACTGTAATCTGGAATATTTGTGTATATAATTGTGTGTATAGTATATATATCTATAGATGTTTTTATTTGTAGATATAGGGTTTACATGCATCTATATTCATATACAGGCAAATTCAGAGATAGGAACACAAAAGACTGTCTAGAAAGTTAATTAAATTGAAGTAATTAAAATTAAATCCAGGAATATTCAAATGGATGGAAATACTTCAACGTGGTCAGGGATTTCACTTCAACAGCTCCCAAATAGGACTGGAAGGAACCACATGTGTAATGTAGTTTATCTTTCTGTGATAGCCCACCAGGCAGAAAGATTTATTTCAGAGCTCCTCAACTGCTTCACAAACCAGCTCCATACCCCCCATATCTCATCTTTACCTGCTGCTGACAGTAGTTTTGCATAGTTGCTTAGCTTAGATTTCCAGAGACCAATCAGACACATCTCTGTACTTATTCACACTGATTAAGAAAATTTGGGTTTCAGTTTTACATATTTCAATATCACATGTTAATTGTTTTTTTCCATGGTCTTTCCTTACCTTTTGCTTTTCAAATGTATTGGGGAAATATAGAAATGTAGTGGCTTGTAATATAAACCTTAGCTTTTAAGCTTTCAAGGTGACTTCTTTTCCATTGCCTGCTATATCTGCAAATGTGCAAAATGGCAAGTATGATTCCATATAAACTAACTGCTGCACTTAAATAGGTCTAGCTCATGTCAAATAAGCAGCACAGGAAGATATGAAGCAAGCAAGCAATTAAGTACTGACCTGAAGCTAGAGAGCTTCAGACACCTGTGCTGTGTAATTTCATACCCATAGCTGGAAAACTGCAGCCTCATGCTTGCAAGGTCACAAAGGAACCCAGCATGTTAGTTGTGTAAAATCTTAAGAATTTATGTGAACCAGAGCAAAAAGTATATTGTTCCACGTGGCCCTTGTAAAGTTATTTGATGCCTGAAAACATATTAGATGATTGAATTTAGAAACAAGCAAGTAAGCTGTATCTGTGAGATTCATATTTCTGTAGCAGAGAAACATTTTATACATGGAAGTTACAGAAAAAAAAATAAGTTCAGATGAAGCACCTAATAGCACAAGACTTTATGCAAAGTAATCTGGTCATGGACAAGGATCTCAGCTGGTATTTATCTGACATATTTCCAATTGCAGGTTATCTGGGTGTCAGTTACAAGCATTTTTGAATGATTAACCCCTCAGATGATGTTATAATCAGGAAGGGTATAATTTACAACCTCATTTTGTTCAATATTCATTTTCTCAATACTTTCTAGGCAGATTTTTTGTAATTTCACAAGTATGAAATTTTTTCTTTCCAACTCATTTGTCATCTTCACCTGTCAGATTTACAAAATCCATCTGGAATCAGAAAAAAGCAATCTGTTCATTCCTTCCACTCCCCTTTCTAATGAGGACTCTGCAGACAGAGCTGAGCTGACAGTGTGGGTGATGTAGAAAGAAAGCTGCAGACTGGCTCAGCTCATTCTTCCATGACTGTATTGATACTAAGCACAGAAGTGAAAAAAAAAATAAAAAGTCTTTGTCATTAATGTAAGCATACATGACTCCACAGCATTCAAGGGTGTAGATTCAGAGTAATAGAACAATAACATTACAATGTTATTTTTCCTGATCAGAACTTCTGCATATTGGTTCATTAGTGTGTCTCATTTAATCACATTCTCAGGATGCCTACAAGTAATGAACCATGAATGAATGTATTTCTTTATCTGCATCAAGAAGAAAAAGTTTCTGTACAGTCTGAACAACAATACAAGAAAGGTCACTGTGGGAGACGAGAATTGCTTCCTGGAAAAGAATACCCTTTTTCATTGCCCATATAGTATTGATAGACCTGATTGCCCACATAGCATTGTTAGACTCAATCTGATTGTTGAGTTCTGCTGTGAGTAGAAATACACACTCAGTATCTAACTGTGAAAAAAAAAWWWAATTTATGAAATCACAAAATAAATAGGAAAGAAAAGACAGCTGTCATCCTAAATGACAAGCTCATGCAGCTAGCCTCTTCCGGGAAAGTGCCAGCTACCTCCCACATATGTGGCTGCTGCAGTTCTAACATTAAAAAAATGAGACATTAAAATCATGTAAATATAACCAACTTTCTGAGATACAACAAGTATTAACAGTTTCACATTCATTCATTTGAAAGCATATTGGAAAAATGAATCCAATCTGCACTGGCATCTGTTATTTTACAGTTTTTAAGTTAATGCATTACAGCTTGAAAGTGGATTATTTTTCCTTTCTGAAACTGTGAAGATTATTTTATTTATTAGAGAAAACAAAATAATTTACATGGGTGGGTTGACTGGTAATCAGAGCCTACTCTTGTATACTGTGTTTGATTCATACTGGTGGGCAGAATGAAGATAATGACCATGTAACAAATGTCTGACCATGAGAAAGACAATTAAAAAAGATATATTAATAATGAAATCCTCTAGAGTGTAATTTCATAATGTGAACGGGGGTTATTTACCTACTGTAAGCAGGTAAGAGAGAGGCAGGTAAAAGACATAATTGAAATTGTAATAGAGTATTACTTGACTCATATCAGTGAGTAATAAGCAGTGTTAACATACATTTTATTTTTCCCATTTTCTTGACATATGCACTAATAGATGGGGAGGGAATTCATATAACTTCATTAAATGACAGCTGTTCCCTGTTCCAATATGCCACACAAACTTTTAAATTCAACAGGGAGAACAGTGCCACCTTCTGAACCACCATGGGGTGAACCACGCATATTAGGTGGTTGTAAAAAAAACCAGCAAAGAAACAAACACAACAAAAACAAAAACAAAAAAACCAAACAAAAAAACAAACAAAAAAAAAAACAAACCCAAGGAATGTAATTTTTTATCATCTGTCAAGATTTGTCTGCAAAATGGCAGCTGTTACCCCTTCAAGTTGATAAAAATTAATTTTCCTATAAAAATTACTTCATATAGGAAACATGTTTTTTCCTCAAGAAAATGGATACATTAAAAAAAACAAAAAAACTCCAGGTAAAACAGAAAAGAAAAATTATCAACATGTATTGTTTTTCCAGCACTGGAAGATGTTTTCATTATGTATTTTGGTTTATTTTCCTATTTCTTCTGGGAAAATGTTCATATGTGTATTTAGCTATTTATTTTTTTTAACTGAACACCCCCCATGCCCTCAAAATGTTGTCTGTAGACCTTAATTTTTAAGCCTATTTTCTTAATCTTCTTTGTATACAGAAGAGAAGAGGCCTAAAACAGAAATTTTGAAAAATTTGGCTACTGTCGAAAGCTTCTGCTTTGTATTATTAACTTTGTCAGTAATATATAATGCATGCATCACAGGTATGTGAATGAGAAAGACTCCGTATCCAATTGCATTTTATCCTCTAATATCATATCAGCTCCCCGTATCAATGGATATAAACAGCTTTCAGTTATATGCAATTCAAGATCTTCTATGAACAAGGATTAATGTAGTACTAGCTAACTTCTAATAGCCATTAAGTAGTAATTTAGTAATGAATCTGTTGTACATTTGAGCCTCTTGGTAATCATTCTCTGCAGATTTCTTTCTTAGCATTTAGCCATTACACAGACAAAAATARTTCATAAAAAGGACATTTTAAGAAATTATTTGCCATTAGTTTCAGTACAATAGTTTTAAATACTGATTCAAGTTCTAAAGATATTTCCTTTGGTTTTATTTAAAGTCTAGGAAGTCAGCCCCCTTGGGGGGATTTAACTTGATTTGTTCAGACAAAAAATTATTTTAATATTCCACATAACGTAAGGACTTAATTCACCAGTTGAACAGCTTTGCCATAMTACAAATGACCTTTTTCAGCTCCCATTTTATTATGACAGGTATTAAAAGAGGGTAAAAACCAAGGGAAACAACTGTTTGCAAACTCTCATGTTAGATATTTATTATAAATGAACATTTTTATTCAAACATTTGGATTCTATTATCCAAGAAAATAATTTTACTTCAGAAATATTTGAATAAAATCTGACTTGTTACAGAAATTAATAACATTAATTCAATATTTATACTTTAATTCCAGGAGGCATTATAMATTTAAATGTAGTCAGCACAATTTTAAAAATAGTTTTATAACTGATCTGCCTTCCTCATATACACAAAAATGCCCTTCTTCAAGTGTAATATAAAGCTCATTCCAAAACCTTTATTTCAAAATATTTTTCTTATACACTCATATTTTTGCTTTTTATAAAAGTCAAGCCTTATCTTCTCAAGTTATATCTCATCTGTCCAAATTACTTGTGTTAAGCAAAATCCTTTGACAAATGGATAGAGTTCTGCAAAGCTTAAAAYCATGCACAATTTTTCCATTCTGACCCAACCTTTTTTATTTAAACGCAAAATCTGCAGTCAGTTCAAGGAACCCTGTCATTTCACTTACTTTTTTTCTARCTGCCGGGGGAACAAGTTTTCATTATTCTCACCAAAAATAAATGCAAGAGTTGATATAAAATTTCAAAGCCATTAGGATATTTTTGTGATCGAAGGCTGAACTAGCAAAGGGCCAGACATCCAATTTGCTCTCCTCCCAATACGCTCAACCACTTTTTTTTCTGATCATCACAGGCAGGATGGACACGGCTATCAAGGGCTGGCTCATGCAGGATGGCTGTGTGGCTGAAGAACAGGGTCTACTGGGAGCAACAAAAAGAACTGGTTTGAGAAGAGGTGGCCTCTGGGGAGACCCTCTTGCTGCCTACAAACCCCTGGCTGATGACAGAGACAAGAAGGCATCAGACTCTTCTTGGAGCAGTGGGATGAGAAGCAACAGGCACAGAYTGGAATGTGAGAAACCCCATTTAGATATAAAGAAACCTTTTAACTAAGAGGATTGGGTTGGCCCCAGATGTTGCGGATTCCCCAGCCTTCAAGGTGTTCAAGACTGCACTTAGCTTGGAGGAACCTGGTAAAATTAGACCTGCTCTGAGAAGGGGATTGGGATAGATGCTAATGGAGGTGCCTTTCAACCAAAGGTTGATTTGGTGTGAGAAATGACCAAATGACAGTAATCACAAGAATGAGGTGGAGGCTTCCTTTCCTCCCTGGAAAGCAAACATCTAGAAGAACAGGTCACTTTTTCTGGTATCAGTGTCAGTACCCATTTCATCAGCTACTCATTGTTCATTAAAAACATAAGCATTTATCAGCCCTGGAAGGACTAAAAGATACATGAAGATGTAAAAGATACATGAACCAGACACAGCCTCATTATTTCTTTCTATTAAAATCTGATTAATGAAAAATTATTAGAACTTCTTTTCTCCACAATATGAAATTAAATTCCTGTGATAGACTGGAAACCTTAGATACTCTTTCTGTTGGTTACTTTCTTTTTTAATTGCAAGCACCAAATTTTCTGTTTAGTATCTTGAAATTGACTCCTGCTCTGCTTTAGCATATCTAAGCCCCAGCACTTTTATTCTCAATACATTTAAGCTTCAAAACAGTAAAATCTATGTTGTAGCTGATATAGGTGTCTCTAAGAGCAGTGGATAGTTAATCTCCAGGACTCCTGGGGAGCCAAGCTGCAGCTGTGCTCGTGTAGATGTCACAGCAAAAGACACAAAACCACTCCTCACCTATTTGCTTGCAGACCTATATACTATGCACACTCAATTGTGTAGACTTGAAATATGAGAGTGTTAAAACATGGTGCTTTACTGCCAAAAGGAGCAGATACAATTCTCTCTCCCAGCTTCATACATTATCAGAGAACAAGCTGTACAGGGAGAAGTTCACCACTCTTCTTAAAGGGCTATGCTGTGTCTTTACCTCTGAATATAAGCATGGACATTAATTTATATGAGGAGGACTARTGCTTCAGATAGAATGAAATTTTATTTATAGTCTAAGCCTGACAGATATTGAAAGGAGGCTCCAATGGTATGTTGGAAGAAGCATTGTATATTTTGAAGTATTTTTAAAGTGGCTTCTATGTCTCTTAAAACACAAACTCTATAAAAAACAGAATAGGGTGTCCTTTATGACTTCTTAAGAATGGGAAACCAAAACCAAATTTTTATTTAAATTCTATTTTAAATTCACCTAAAAAGTCTCAGCCATTCTACCARTAGCAAAAATAGACTTAAAGAAGTACTTCAGCACCAGGAAGCCCCATAGAAAACAGCTTTCCTTATATAGCAGAATGAACTATAATACACTCAGCCTAGACTAACCCACATCTAAGTATAAAGGGCCTAAGACAACAGCACACTTWCTCCTTTCTCTGTACGACCAGGTGTAGATCCTAAACTAGGAATATCATTGAATAGATGGAAGTCATCCAGGCTAGAGTGTAAGAAGGAAACCTGTAGCATGGCAGAAAGGAAATCAAACTCTAAGAGAAAAATAAGATTATTGTAGGTTATCCATTCTGATCTTTACTATATATTTTACTGATTTGCTCACTAATATAATCTTGCAACAAATAAATGCTGCTAACAAAATCTCAACCTGTCATTTTAGAAAATATTTGAACCAGCATGGTAAGCTTACATCACAATCTAATTCTGGCACTTCCTACATGGGAATTTCTTAGCAGCTATTTCAGCAATTACAGGTCACCACTTCCACCAGAGAAGTCCTTCTCACTCCTTACCTGTACACTCCTTGCTCTCAAGGCTCAGTTGTGCCCCAAAATTGCACACGTGTCAAACAAGTTAATTGGATGCAGGATCTGATCAGACAGAAAATGATTCTTTTGCCTCTCCTCCTTCTTTCCATTTTTATCTGTGCAGCTCTCTCACCATACACTATATAAGTACACCCAATCATTTGTGCTGGTATAAGGGATGGGAGGAATGAGAATAGGAGCATGTTTTTCGTGGTGGTAAGGAATGCTTTTTCCAATATTTGTGCCAGTATATGTGTGYTAAAAGTGTTTATTGAACAACCTAGCCAACCCTTTAGTACATTTGATCCAAAATTTAACTAATGCTTTGACTCCATTCTTATATACATTTTCAAGGATATATTGGTCAAAACATATTAATTATAAAACTCACCAAACTGATGAAACATTATTGATATTTTCAACTACATATTTAGCATATGTTTTAATATGCAATAAAATTCAGAGCAAATACATGGAACACAATTTGCCCTATTTTGTAATAAAAATCAATTTCTTCTAAATTCTGGGGGTTTTATTGTCTTCTTTGGAAAAAAAATCTTTCTTTTCTGTCTGACATTACCTGCTGAACCTCCTCAAAGACTAACTTCTAGATATAAATCTCTTACTCCTCTTTTCAAGCCTTTACTCTTCTCAATTTCTGCTGTCAGCATCATTATTTCACTTAGAGTCTTGAATAGGCTTACARCTTTCAGAAGTGCTCTTTTCTATGTAACATGTCTTAAATCAGATGAAATCATAATTTCTCCCCTAAACAAAAGAAAAATTAAAAAAGAAAAAACAGTTATGCTGTGGAAGGTTGCATCTAGCATTGCCAGTCCCCAAAGCTTTCTAAAGTTGCTAAATTGTCTTACAAATCAGTTGGGTTTTTTTCAAATTTACCTTTTATGAGATTGAACTCCAAAGTTTTTCCTTGAATTAATGAGGACAAGATCCTTACCTTTTCTGCTGAAACCTGAGGTTCCTAGGTAACACAGATGCTAAGTGCTAGAGAGTTGAAAAATTCAATATCTGCTAAGTAATGTTGATGTCAAGGCAAATAAAAAAGGTGCAATTTTACTAACATATGGCTGTTATTATATCCAGGAAAAAAACTATAAAATTTCTGGTAACCAGCAAAATGAACCCAGAATTTCAGATGCCACCTGTCTGTAGCTCAATAGTTCTGCTTTCTTGGTAGCTCTATTTACAGTGCTGCAAATGGTGTCCATTTACTGCAGTTACATTTATGCACTTGAATTTCAAAGTTCAGTTTAATTTAAGGAACTCTTTWAAGTTTGGTCAAATCTGGAAAAACATCACCCTGGAATGGGGAAATAAATAGATTTGTTTCTTAGATGARAGTACCGATTATCTTACAGCATAACCTATCACAGAGAGAAATGAGGTTCAAAAAGTGTTTGGACAATACTTTCAGGCACATGGTGTGACTTGGGGTTGTTCTGTGCAGGGCCAGGAGCTGGACTTGATGYTCCTTGTAAGTCTCTTCCAAATAAGCTTATTCTCTGAAATTATGATTCTATCAAGGTCATGTGATAGAGACTAAATTACTAGAAGTTATGTAATGAACATAAGATGACTTATTAGCATTACAGAAAAAGGATTCTTTCTTTTAACTGAGCTGCTTAAAATTTTCCAGAGCTCATATGCAGAGTGAAAGTGTGAAGTTGTACATGGATAAGTGGGGAGAAACATTGCTGGTTTAATATTTGTTTCTTACTATTTGAATCTGTTTTAATGGGCAATAAATTTAATTAATTTTCCCCAAATCAGTCATTGGTAAGAGATTTCCTTGTCTTTATCTCATTACAGTCTTTCTTATCCTATTTTCTCCTCATCCTGCTGAGTAGGAGGAGGGAGGGAGCAGCGAAGTGGGAGTTTGGCCTTTAGCCAAAGTTAACTCACTGTGTTAAAACCAGTTGAATATAGTTTCAACTTTTCTAACAGCTCTGTTTGTGGAGACCATTTGACTCATCACAGCTCCTTACAAAACCTTTGAACAAATGTATCAAAGCATTAGAAATAAATCTACATGTTGTTGCACAATTAYATTACAATTTCCCCTAGAGTATTTATTGACATACTAAATATKTTGATTAATAAACTCCAGTTAGAACTAAAAATAAAGATTCAAAAATTGATATCCTGGAATTTGCATCACTGCACACTTCCACAGAATTTATTTTGTAAACACAATGGAAAGATAGATTTATGCATATGTATATTATGGTGATAACTCATTCATGGTGCTATTGCACATACTTTTGATGCATTTCTCCTTCATGCACAAATAAATGAGAACTATGTTCAGTGCTGTGCAGAAACTGCTTGAATAGGAAGCTGAGTCAAAGAAAACTATTCTGTTTGGTCTTCTGAGCATAGACAATTCTTGAGAAAGAATTTTTCTATAGGCATGGAATACTAAAGGTGATCTGAGACACCAGAGAAAATGATTGTTTATTTGCTGCTTGATCACTTAGCTAGGAACTGTGRTTGGTGCATGCAAACAAATTTGCATGAGATTATATTTGAAACGAATTATTAAAATCTGGATACTTTGTTTTTAAGAAGCATTTTATTAGTTGCAGGTAATTGTTCCAGTAAGGGAAGAGCTGACTTTCTTTTCAAAATGAGAAGTGAAGAAGAAAAATGATATTTACATTTCTAGAGAAAATTCATTTGTCTAGAAATAAAGGTAGGTGGATTACTCTTTCTTTTGTACKTGGCATAGGAAAGCATGTTGCAAAAGATAGGACTGGATATACCGGCTGTATGATGCTGGCCAAGTCACTTCATKTCACTTCAGTGCTCCACTACACAGTGGGATAAAAAAATGTTTTGACATTTATTTCCAAAAGGACATATGTGGATTAACTGCTGTTTTTAGAAAATTCTTTCCTGTGAAAATTGACCTACACTACAAATCTSCAAGCAGATGATAATGAAATTAAARATCTACCTTGTTCACTGATAGAATTCCTTTTTATTTGCATAGTTTAAACAAGGCAAGGAATATACTTACAAARAGCAATCAAGGAAACCTTTTCTTCAATATAACACATGATCAGTTCTCCTTCTCCAAGCCTCTTAATTAGCAATGAGACATTAAATTGTCTGAAGTGATTGTCTATGAACCAATAAGCACCTTGTGAGTAAAAGATCAGAGGAAAACCGTAATGCTTAGAAATTTGCCAGGCCAGCTCCAGGCACCGGGATACATTGTGCATGTGTTACAGTGGGGTCCTGCAGTGATGGAATTTTTGTTTTTTGGGACAGTCCCACTCTGCCCATCACCTTTACAGTTACTGGATATGGGAGGGATCAGCAGATACTGAYAGGATATGAGGCCTAGGAGCTGTTGATCACATTTTACATGCATGACTACACCTGAAGTCTAATCACAATCTCTCCTGCACGTGAAGAACTTGCTGCATGAGAATCTGGTGTCACAGGAGCAGCTTTGAATAATAGAACYCATTAGGATGGTAAAGGTTTCATCAAAGTTCAAAAGAATTCTTTGATGTCTCCTAAAATATTTATTCCRCTGCTCATGACATCCTGATTTAACTAATACTGTTGACTCAGACCTTATGGAAATGAGACACTGAATTCTATGCAGAATTCTATATGAATTGTGTTAGTATACAAACATTCTTCTTTATGGCCCAACTGTAGACCTTTGATTTTAGAATCTAAAATATTGCTGCATTCTTGTCTGTAAAAGCAGATGTAGCAGCTACTGCCAAATTGGGTGTTCCCTGATGTGAGCTGTAACTGTAGGTCCGGTAACTCATTAGRAAACAGCTTGAGGAAGTTAGAGTAATTTTAAAACTAATTTAATTTTTTTTTTTTCCCACAAGGTAGGCCTCTAAAAGAAACAATTTAATCTGCACCAGTTAATCCTGCTTATTGACTCATGAGAAARTTATGCTTTATTTCCTGCAGGTTTGGTTCAGTTATGTACTGGAAGAAGACTAGTGTGAGAAACAACACTCCTTTGGTGATGGGTTTTGACGAAAGTATTCTTGTGGAAAATCTATTATGTTAAATGAAAACATTTTCAGTCTGGGTCACTTTTCTTGGTAGCAGAGACATGTTATTATCCAATAAAAATATTTTTAACATTCAGCAACATACTGAAAGCAATGCACAGGAAAGTCATTATGTTCCATGCTTTTAAATGCTCATTGAAACAAGAGATTAATGTTCTCAACCTCTACAATTAAATTCTGCAATTAAGTCAAGCAAATCCATTTGTGGTCATTAGTTTCACTTAYCATCATCAAAATTTGGGGAATGCTGAATGTGTTTAATATATGAGATGCATAGTGAAGTTATTGGTACTATTTTTCAGAGACAAATTAGGAAGCCTGTCTAATTGTGCTCCTGGACAAGGTCCATAAATGGCTTTTAGATAAATCTKTACAAGCAATGGAAAGAAAATCTATTGTCCAAATTGGTACTTATAACTACTGCTGCTGAGCATGAGACTTTTGTTAGCAATGCAGCTTCTCAATATAAGGTATTCAGAAAGAGATCAAGTCTCTATTTTTCTGACAAAAAATGGTGCAAAGTTATGTTTTGTGTCTCTAATCGATTTCCTCTCTCATTTTTACAAAATGTATTATTCAAAAATGCCTTGCAAATCCCTAAGAAACTCCATTGCWAGGAAACATGAATCTGTAATCACATTTGCAATTCCTCAAATTATATACTTTTCTCACATTATTCTCTAGTTTTCTTTACCCGCAGAAGTCCTTCCTTCTGATATAAATAAAAAGAACACTTAATTTATTGTGGAAGCATTAAGTTGATTTGATCAGATAAGGATCTGGTCCTTGAACAGGTACAACTGCAGACTTGACAAGCAGAGGCCACCTTGAGGACAGCAGATTTCTGTTGTGGGGGTGTTGCTTTGAGAGAGTTTCATGCACTGCCAGCAAAGCMGGACTGTGACTTCTCTGTGGTGTTTCTAAGGAAAAGCGATAAAAAGCCAGTGCTCAGATGGTGTCTGAAGTGACATTTAAAGGTTTAGCTGTTTAAACACTCAGGCTGCAGTCATGCTTGTTCTTGTCTACGGATCCTGAAGATAAGTTTTATAGGTTTTTTAGTGTTCCACTACAATACACTTCAGAATGAAAGAGAATATTTCCTCACCTCAGAGCTGAAAGGTAAAAACTCACCACAGAAAGGTAAAAACTTAGTGCCTATTATATCCATCTGTCTCCCAGAACATTTTCTCCAATATATACCAAAATATAACTCCAGACATCTGCAAAATCACCAGTCCCTCACATTTTCCTCACTGTTCCCTCCCACCACTACGGTTTACTTGTCTTTACTTCTTACTTGAGAGGATGTTTTGGGAGAGTGAATTTTTGTGCAAAACTTAAACTAATGAAGTGATTTTATTAATTATTTTAAATTACACCTAGCACTTATCAAAAAGTCTAAGGAGGTCCAAGTTTTGACTATGGAATTTTGCTGGGGAGTAATGGCACATGAAGGAAGATAAACTTGATATTTAAGTACTTACAGTATGCAAGGTTGACTTTAAGGAGAAATGTTTCATGTATCTTTTAAATAACAAAATTTTGTTATAGTAGGTCCTTCTACTRCGTATTTATTTGAAACACAAATTGTTCTTTGACCCTTAGAACTGCTAATAATTTGCAGAATATACTCTCCCAAGTATAGAAATACAGAATATTGAATTTGCACCATACGGACATTCTGGAAACAAAGAATTACCCGATTTTGAATCAACTTTGGCTTATATTTCAGTGACTGAGAGTTCTGAAAATGGARAACAGGCAAGTTTTCTCTTGAAGCATGTTCGAGTTAAGATCATACAGATACTGCATAAGTGTTTGAACAAACATTATATACCTGCTAACTTGAAAAAAACTTTCAGGTGTTGATAAATATTACCCTCTTCTGTTCTTTTTACRTTCCTTCAGTGTTTTACTCACAGGAGATGAAGTACTTTCTCAGAAAGCATAAGATTCCTGTCTGATAGAAACATTAATTTCAGAGAAGAAGCAAGCACTGAGTCCATATGTCTGAAAATTGAAAGTGAAACTGATGTTTAAGAGYCTTTGCGGCATGAAAGCTTTCATAATGTTTGGTTCTCTGCGTGTTCCWGTGTGTTTGACAATGTGTTGCCATTTTATCAAAAATTTTAAAAATCACAAGGGTTTTTAATATTAGATGTAGTAAGTTTGCAGCACACAGGCACACTGCAGTGCCAGCCCAAGCCCTGATAAAATTCAGTAGGATTTGTGTGGTGATTTAGAAATGGTATTGTCTCATTTAATGCTCCCACTAAAGCACATGCCCACCCACTCCCCCCTTCCTCCACCTTTTCCTGGGGCTGGAGAGGAGAACTGGAGGCACAAAAGGCAAAGATCGTGGGTTGAGATAAGGACAATTTGCTGAAAACAGCAATGAGATAAGAAAACAAAGAGTAACGGCAACACTACTAATGACAGAGGGTGCAAGAAAGGAGTGGTTCAAACAAAAAATCTCCTACAATAAACAACACTGGCAACTCCCTTCTCCGTATTTCCTTGACTGGAAGGAACCCCTTCTCCCTGGAAGAAAGTCCCTTCCCCCCCACCACTGGCAACGATGTGAGGTTGCCAGTATAATAAACAATCCATGGCTAGATCCYAGCCATGCCCTCTCCCAAGTTCTCCAAAAATTAATCCTATCCTGTCTGGAACCAGGGCATTTTTTTTTTCTGAATTATTTAAGGACATATATTTTCCTAGTTACATTTAAAAACAGTAATAAAGTTATAGAATCACTGAAGTTGAAGAAGAGCTTCAACCATAAGTCCATGTCACCACAGTGGTGCCATGAGTACAACCGTAAGTCTGGAACCACTGTGTTCACCCAAATCAGGTCCCTAAGTGACATATTGAATTATTGGTCTACAGAACCATTAATTTGCATCTCATATCTTAAAAAAGCATGTGTTTTCACATACTTTTACATTTAGAGGGATGGAGCCACATTTTACMCTATAATACTAGTACAACAGCATTAAATGGTATCAAGGATCATGTGTGCCTTTAAATTGCAACAAATCTCACTTTCACTGTAGGATTGTAAGGTATTTTCTGTTAATTGGAACAGAAAACATATGGCATGTTTCTGACATTTTCTGAGACACTCTTTTGCATAAAATGTGACATAAGTGATATTCTGAATTACTATCTGGAATTCTGAGAAGTTTTTGTATTTCTTTCTTTTAGTCCATTTTATTACAAAATTATTCAAACTACAGTCATCTGTACAAATTCACAACYATTAAAGTTTTGTCAAACCCCAGGAGTTTATTAAAAGGTTGTGGTCTTGTGTTGAAAAAATCTAGGAACATAAAGGTTAAAACCCCCAACATCTCGCTGAGATATTTTTCAGGCTAAATGGTAACAGATCATCCTTTGCCTAAAGGAATATAGATGAGAACTTTGACTCTGGTTGAATCTTTTAGATGAGATTTAAATGTGTAAACTAAAGGTCYGCTGAGTTGCTGATAAAATCACCTGGAGCTGAGAGGCTGCAGCTGAAAATCTGACTTTCTAGACAGCTTTTTAATCCAAGAAGCAAGCACATAAAAGGAAAATAATGTCYTCTCTTTCCCTTCTGTGGAAATGTTTTACAAGGGGAAAGCCAGATACCCCCATTCCAAAGAAAGCCATTGCCAAAAAGGCAGTTCCATGATGTGAGCTACAATCTCACACATATACTGAACTCAGAGCTACAGGTGCCTGAGACATCCAAAACTTTTCAGAGAAGCCCTCCCCTAAGTGTTCATGTGAAGACCCTTMATCAGTTCCAAAGCAGCGTTTCCTGCGAATGCCAAACCTTATTGCTTAATTATCGCAGTCCATTCTGAGGCAAATTCTGTTTCTCATCTTAAGCATGAAATACCAGGTATCTGAAAATAGGCAGACATTTTTGGAAGCCTCATCATTAAGTGAAAGCCCATCATTACTTTCCCAGCAAGTACCAAGTAAAGATTCAGCTAGATGTTTGAAGTCYCCCAAAGCATAAGGAAACAAAGTAGTAGAAAATAATAAAATAGCATAAGAAGTTGCATACTTTTGTGGTAGCAAAAACACAGATGACAATTAATTTTCACTGAAATGCTTCACAGGATTAATTATTAGCACATCTGCAGCAAAACTTTTTCTTGGTCTGAGAATAATTTCTTGATGCCAGTGGCTATTTTGTGCTGCTGGGAAAAAAATTAGTGTAAGAGGAAAAKGTGAAGATGTAGAGAAATAGAAGTATATGCAAAAAAGGCTTACTCAAATGTTCTTCCCTTGACCTTGTCTTTTTCATGATGCACCCTTCTGTCAACACATCAATTTTCAGTGCCAGCAGTGACACCGATTTCATGGGAATTTTCCTACAGAGTTGAGGAAATAGAATAATCTAAAACTCGTGTGTACAGTACCATTTTGTCTTGGAGRAGGATTAGTCTCCTTGGGATTCTGGCTTTTGTTCTGTCTGTTTCTAGTGCTGTAGCTCCAATATTGCCTCACTCCTCACTTGGGTTCACACGGAGGGCTGTCTGTGCCTGGCTCCACCTTGAGCCCAGCTTTGCTGTCAAGCCTGGAGGTGGATGCCTTGGACCTCAGTGTTTGTGTTCATTCACATCAACAGACCCTTGTCCCAGTGAAGATTCAAGTTTAGTTACTTGATTGTTGGTAACCATCCTGTTCCCTTCCACTAGCTGAGCAGATYAGGAGACCTCTCTTACCTCTCTTACCCCTCTTGCCTAATTGCATTGGGAATCCACATAAAATTTCCTCTAGACAGCTTTCTGATCACATTTGGTAGGGCAAGCAAGGGCAAATTAAGAATAAATAAATTCCAGGATCTTCAGACCATTTTGAAGGGATGGTTTAATCACAATGGCTGAATTTACAAGTAGTACAGCAATATACTTACTTCAAAGTCCTCACAGTGAAGCAAACTTGACGAGCTTGCTATTTATTACTTGAGGTTCAGGCAAACCAAAGGCTGAGGAGGAAACATCAGAGCCAGCAGCAGCAGCTCTTCTTGCTCTTTTSTTGTGTGTT